GTGCCGTGACATCAGCCTAGCTCACAGCAACCTCAAACTCCTGGGCCTAGCCTCCTGATTAGCTGGGATTACAGGCACATACCACCATGCCTGGCTAATTTTTTCTATTTTTAGTAGAGATGGGGTCTCACTCTTGCTCGGGCTGGTCTTGAACTCCTGACCTCAAGCAATCCTCCCACCTCGGCCTCCCAAAGTGTTAGGATTACAGGTGTGAGCCACAGCGCCTGGCCTCCCTGTTACATGTTTAAAAGCACAGGTTGCCAAAATGTGTACCAATCTGATTTAGAACATAATTTTTGGAAATAAAATTTCAGATACTAAAGGAGTCTGTTTTATACCTAAAGTTACATGAGGGAGAGAAGACCCAACTATTATTTTTGGGTTTTCTCCTCTTGTGGTATTGGAACATTTAATTTATGAACTTAATTCAGACTTTGTGATAATCTTGTAGAACAAAATGTTAAAATTATTAAATTTTTTTTAAAGGATACCTTGATAGTGCTAAGATATTTTAATTTATATTTAATGTACAAATAAAGATTCAGATGTGGTACACAATGAAATTAGATTGTGAGTTACTGATTTGGATGGAGAGGTAGCAAAAGTGAAAAATTTTAGGATTCATTTTTATTTAATGCTTTCTCATTCCTTCTTAGAATGAAATTTAGTAACATGACAATATGAAAATAATTTGTAATTCTTGGTGTTTTTTTGATCATCTGCTCTAGTGTGGGATCATGCAAAGCAAAGTCTTTACAACTGGCTCTGGTATGAAACTACTACATATAGTCCTTATACTGAAGAAACCTCCTATGAAAATTCTCTTCTGGTTAAACAGGCTGGATCCCTACCACTTAGTTCCTTGACTCATGTCTTACGAAGCCTTACCCCTAACGCAAGGTAAGGATTAAAACTGTATTTCTTCTTTAAAAAAAACTCTATACATTTTAATATTATATATGCACTACTAGGTTTTCATAGTGATACTAAGGTCCCTACTTAGCTTGAAGGGTTAAGAGAAATGGTAGTAATAATAGTTGCCAGTACTGTATTGTGCAGTAGGCAGAGTACTCAGTAGTAGTCTGTCAAATTGCCCAATAATAAAGCAGGAGTACCAACATTTTTTTCTTAATACATTTTGATATTTCTCAATAGGAGCATCTAAGTGCTCATCATGGAGAAAAGGCAGAATTTGGTGGATTGTACTTAAATGTTGTGGTTGTTTTTAATTACATATTGAACATTGTGATTCAAACACTAAGTCCTAAGACATGCAATAGGTCATTTGATCCTCATAACTAAGGTGGATAGTTAATGGCACAAAGATTTTGATGCTAATCTGCCCAGCTCCAAAGCTCATGCTCTTAAGCATCTCTGTAGTCATTTAGCTGATTATAATAATTGTTTTCCTAGATCATTGTAAAAATGAAAATGCAAAGATTTAAAATTTTTGACATACCTAAGTACTCCTGGGAATCTTAGTGTAACACTACTTCCAATCCCACAGTTCCAATTGGTTCACTCTCCTGTGGAAACAATTCAAAATATGAAAAAATATATATACTTTTATTTAATGCAAGATTATTTTTAATAATCTAAAATTGGAAACATTGTAAACATCTAAAACCAAAGATACTTTTAGATTTTTCTTAAAAGGAAGTAAAAAAGCTTTTTCTGTGTAAGTAGACAAGGATATGATATTCCTTGCAGAAAAGAATGGAAGATAATGCAGACAGGCCAAGTATTTAGCATTTTCTCTGTGTATTTTATTACTAGCTGTTGTCTTTTGATGTTAACATTCTGGATTTAAATTTGTTTGTTTTTTGTTTTTTTCCTTAGGGGAATTTTCAGGCTACTAATAAAGTATCAGCTGGATAACCAGGATAACCCTTCTTACATTGGTATCCAATATTTATGATATTAAGTTGTATAACTTTTGTTTTACCCCATAAATCCTTTTTTCTGGAATCTAATGATAACACTACAGTTTTTCACAGCAGTGAATCAGTAATCACTCTGTGATGGGTATGTCTGCCACATAGCAAATTTCCAAGCAGCCCTGCCAACACAAAAGACAAACCAAGCTTACTTTTACAATTCTCTGTGCTAACTGTGGATGTGTGTCTGCCAGTTACATATGTTTCATATACTGGGCATCTTAGGAGATTTTCTTCCCCTTTGGCAAAAATAATGTGTTAATTTAAACAAACATTTTAGTAGTTATTCCATTCTCATGACTTACTAGTTCTTTCTTTAAGAGTCAACTTTAAGCTGGGTACAGTGGCACACAGCCTATAGTCCTAGCTACTCAGGAGGCTGAGGCAAGAGGATCACTTGAGCCCAGGAGTTCAAGGCCGTAGTATGCTACAATTGCACCTGTGACTAGCCACTGCACTCTAGCAACATAATGAGATCCCATCTCTAAAAATAAATAAATAAAATAAAGGTTAACTTTTTAAAACTTCCTACAGGGGTTATATTACACTTGATCACAGCTGACTAGTTTCACCAGTCAGCTCTCTTTAAAAGCTATAAGCCATAATGTATATGCCTAAATATTCTCTGATTTTGCTTCTTCCAGAGGTACTTCCCTTTTTTCTTTATCAATGCTTATTGACTGCTGCGGCATAACCTGCCAACAGCACTTTTGTTCTGTGTCCTTTGGTACAGGTATTGATACATGGGGTCATGTGTTAAACGCTGACTTATGTTTATATCTCCTTTTGAACTCACCAGGACTTTCTTTTCAAGATTTTTACCAGCAGTGTCGGGAGGCATTCCTCGTCAATAGTGATTTGACACTCCGGGCCCAGTTAACTGAATTTAGGGACCACAAGCTTATAAGAACAAAGAAGGTAAAACTGTATTGTAGCATTGTATGCCAGGAATAGTATATATCATTTACTTAGGGACAAGTATACCTTTGACATAAACTTGATTTTGAAACTGAGGTTCCATGATAGGTCACAAAGATTCATTTAGGCAGTGTGCCATTTGAGTTGTGTAAAAAGAACCATGGTAAAAGTACTCTGCTTCAGAGCAGAAAACATGTAGGAGTTAGAGGCATTTAGATATATGAGTCAAATAATTCTGCTTCCTTCTCTCTTCCCTCTACCCCATTCATTAATAGTCTATATTTATTGAGGACAAACTGTGTATCAGATATTGCACTAAGTAATAGGATATAGTAGTAAGCAAAACCTAATTGTTTTTCTTACAGAGCTTAAAGTCCAATAGGGGAGATAGATATTAGTAATCACACACATGTGAAATTTCAACTGTGTTAAGTAAGTCCTATACTCCAAAAGAGCATATTAAAATAGATGGATTTGACCTAATTATGGATATCAGAAAAGACTACTGAGCTGTGATCTAAAGGAAGACTGGGAAATAACTAGTCAAAAAAGGGACGGAAGAGTATTCCAGACCGGAACAGCATGTGGAGAGACCCTGGAACAAAAAGGCCAGCATGGCACAAGATGAGGCTGAAGAGAGGGTGATGTAAGGGCTAGACCATACATGTCTTTTAGTCCAAGGAAAGGATTTTAATCTTTATTCTAAAATAATGAGAATTCATTCAAAAAATTATTCTAATTCTGGTATGGAGAGTGGAATGGGGCAGAATAGGAAGGGACTGCCAAAAGTGGATGCACAGAGGCCAGCCAGGAATGTTTTAATAGTCTGGGTCAGATGATGGTGACTTGGATGAGGGTGAAGAGAGAAAGTGATTGAATTCAAGATATACTTGGGAGACAAAACTGAGAGGAATTGATGATAGATTTGATGTGGGGGCCAAGGGAAATGAAAGTATCAAGAATGATTTCTGGTTTCTTCTAGTTTTTCATTCAATGATAGTGGGATCCCAGCTTGATGGTGGGATCATTGGATGGTAAACTGGAAGAGCAACATTTTGGGGAGACAGATGATGACTTTATGATCTTAGTTAAGTTTAGACTTATACTATTTGAGGTTCCTTTGAGATTTCCAACTAGGCAGTTGGATACCTGGGACAGATACCAGAGGAAAGATCTGAGCTAGAGATACAAGATTATGATAACTGTGTATTTAGATTGTAACTGAAACCAGGCATTGGAATGACCAAGAAGCAGGACATTTAATGAGATTAAAAAGCCAGGAACTAAGCCTGGAAGTCTGACATTTAACAGCCAAGTAAAGGATAATCCTGCAGAGATGAGAGAAACAGCCAGAGAACTAGGAAGAAAACCAGCACGTGATGTCACAGAAGCCAAGAGAAGCAGGTTTTAAAGGAAGAGAGAATAGTCAACTGTGTCAGATGGTGCTGAGAGGCCAAAAAGATGAAGCCTGAAAATTTCTATGGGATTTAGAAATATGGAATTCCCTGGTGGTCTAAGCAAATGACATGATAATAGGAGCAGAAGCTATATTGAACTGTGTTGAGTGAGAAATGGGGAAATGGAGCCTGCCATTATAGATAACTCTCCTGGTAAGCTGCAGAGGTAGGATGATAGATGGAGAGGCGTGAAGGAG